ATATATATAGATTAATTCTAATAAAGTAATTAAATAACGTAAGGAATATATATGAGTGAAAGTATAGAATAATATTTGCTTAATTGCAAAAAATAAAAAAATAATAAAAAAAAATAATGGGACCAAATTGGTTTCATTATTTATTTGGAAAATTTCGATCAAACCTTTTATTTGTTGCATGATTTATTTGAAAATTTTCAATCCAAATTTTAAATAAGTTTTGTGTTTTTTGTTTTCTGCATTTTTTATGGAACCAGATTTATGGGTATATTATCTCTAATAACAAGAATGTTAAAATATATAATTACTGAAAGTACACGCCTGCTATACCAATTGGTTTCTCACCAGTAGCATCTTTGAATTATTTTCTGTAAGGAAAAACAAATAAACGAAACAAATTGACATGTGTGGTCTATGAGATATATAAAAATTAAAATATATAATTAATAAATAAATAAATAATAATGGGTATTATAAATATAAGTGTGTGTGGGTGGGGTATTCAACCCCCATTAAATATATAATTAATAAATAAAAAATAATAAAATTAATTATATAAAATAATACTCATTTTTATATTTGATTTGTCAAAATGATGATTTTTTTAAACACCCCCCTTTCCCCCCACCCAAAACGAAAAAAATTAAATATGTAATTAATAAATAAAAAACAATAAAGTTAATTAGTTAAAATAATATCCATATTTATGTTCGATTTGTCAAAATAATAATTCTGTTTTAAAATAATAAAATCAATGGAATTAATGTACAAAATAATTTTGGTGAAATATTGTGGCTATTACCTTTATTAGTTGCATAGTTTATTTGAAAAATTTCAATCTAAATTTTAAATAGGTTATGTGTTTTTATTTTTATTTTTTGAAATTGAAAACAGATAATCTAAATAATATTACTTTGGGCATTTGGAATTAATACTGTATACTATCTTATGTTACAGGATTCATTCATTTTATTTATATATGGACATAATTTTAACGGGAAAAAACTAATGTATTATAGTAAATACATTTACAAATTTTCATAAAAAAAAATATATATCATTAAATATATAATTATTTTATTCGAAATATGTTTCTAAGTTATCACATTTCATAAAAAAATCTAAATGTTTATGGAGAAAAAATCTTTAAAACTAAATAGTAGGTTTTAATATATAATACCAGTAATATTCACACACACACACACACATATAAATGTTTGTATTTACTTAAAATATAAACTAAAATCCCGCTAAAAATTTTAAAACTACTGAACTTGATATATATATTTTTTACAATTTTAAAAAATCCG